GGACCTGCTACTGTCACCACCTCTTGCCACAGGTCCTCCTGATACTGCTCCTGCCCTGCAGGGATGGGCACAGGTGGGGAGTGGCAGTGAAACCCAGGGCAGGGGCTTTAACATTGACTGCTCTCAATGAGTTGTCCAGAAATTACAGTTTTGCTTTTTCTGCCAACCAAGGCTGTTAGTGTTTCTGTGTTTGTATTAATGAGAAGGGTTAGGGTTAGGGTAGAGTGTGGGTTTACGGTTAGGGTGTGGGTTTAGGCTTAGGGTTAGACTGGAGTGTGGGTTTGTTGTTTAATGGAGGGCAAAGTGGTGTCTGAGTTCAACTGATTTAAATTTTTTCTTTCAAGGTATTTTGTCTGTGAAAAGTCTGAAAATCAAGGACATCTTTTTTGGAATCTACTATCTTTGCCCTTGATCATAGCTGAGTAACCCTTCAGACCTAAGCAAAAGCATGAACTCTTTTGGCCATTTTTTAGAGGGAGAAAAAACCAAACACAAACCTGTTTTCTGAATCCTTTGGAAAATCTGACTTATCCAAGAAAACATGATTAGGAATGTATCGATTTTCTGTTCTTCATTCATTCAGACACCTGTGAAGCCAGATCAATAATGCTCTCTTTAATGATTTAACACAGCTGATTGCAATTAAATCACTTGAAATCATGGCCTCAACTTTCAATGGTGCTTTGAATATGAGACTTTCCATTTCAGGGAGGAACAGAATACATTTACACAGTTCCATTATGGGTGGTGTTTTTTTCAACACACAGATTCTCTCATTTCCCCTTCTTTAGCCGTAAGCATTAAGGTCAACCATCTGCTTTGGAAATGCAACTCAGATGGAACTCTTTCTACTATTTTGCTTAATTTATTTTTAGAGGCTGAAAATATGCAGTTGTAATTTGCTTTATAGAATTCTTTGTCACTGTGGGACTAGAAAAAGATCACAGGCATTTCTCCGATCATAGATTTTAAAATATTTTAGAATGTTATTTTAAAGACTACTTACCAATATTTAATTTTTGCTTTCTGTGTAACTATTCAATCTGTACTTTAAAACAAGCATTATCTAGCAGACTTTCAGTTCAATTACAGCAGTTGCTTTTCAGCAGGCTAAGTTTCCTGTAGGACTAGACAAGGAAAGTAACTTAGGAAATTGAATTTTCCACATTGTTGCAGTGAAGGAATGGTATTCCCCAGTTTTGTGCTCACACTGATACAGCTCAGACCATGTGCCACTCACTGACTTCCCCACCACTTTTCCCATGGCAGGAGGAGAGAAGGGCACAATTAGGTAAAGATCACAGCTTTAGATAAGAAAAATTTACTAGAAACAGCAGTGAAAAAAAACCACAAATGGTAATAACACTAAAAGGAGAGTGTACAAGAGGTGAACGAGTCACACGTGATTGTTCACCATACAGAACTTGGCACACCCCACAATTTATGGCACATCGGCGGAGGAAGAACAAACACCTTCCATTTCCCCTGCTACGTGGCAGGTGATATCCAGTTACCCCAAGGTCCTGGCCGTGCTCCTCCTGGCTGCTGCAAAAATTACCCCTGTCCTGGCCAGATCCGGGACATGGGATCTGCCCTGCGGGTCCTGGCTCTTCCTCTGGGTGAGAGCCCCCCATGGCATCTGCCTGGAAAAAGGGACTTCAGGACAACCTATTACTTATGGACATTCCCCCTTCTGCCCCTGTCCCAGCTCCCTTTTTGCCTCCAGAAAACTTTGAACAGAAGTAGCACTTAGGTACAGTTCTGCACATTCTGAACTGGCAGGAAGGTGACCCACATGTCACTCTAGGCACATGTGCAGCAAGGACAAAGAAAGTTTCTGAGGGGCCTGGGTCTTAAGGTCTTTTGTTCCAGGAGTACCACCTGTTACTTTCAGATTCTGCTCAGGGATAACCAGTGAAAGTTTTTTTGTTCTACACAAGACATAACCATGTATGGCACATCAGCTGTCACTTTTTCCCCCATTTATTTTCAAGTATATTCTATCAATCAGGACCATGGTGGCTCCTGCTCTGAGGTGTATTTACCATCCCTGTAGAACATTGTTTGGTTGTTTTTTGAGAAATAGGCTCAAAATAGCACAGGGTTACTGCCTTCATTCCCATTCTTTGAGCTAAAGATGGAGTTACTGTGCAAGGCAAAGGCACTCATGTATGAACAGTGCAAAGGGGTCAGTCAAGCCTGGCAACTCCAGAGCAGGGGTTGTCATCAATCACCTTTAAAATATGTAGAAAGGCTGCTGGACATTCTGGAGTCCAGTGTAGCACCTCCATGGATTCCTTTCATGATTCATACACAGGCTTTTCCAGTAGTTCATAACTGGGGATCCATCATCGACACCATCCAGTCATTCCCGAAAAGGGACAGAGATGTGGGCTCTGGTGTTTGACAAATTGCTTCCTCCCTTTCTTTCTCCAAATTGTCCTTGTGAGTGGGGAAGCCAGGAGATCAGACGTGGGTAGATATGGACATGGTCTTGAAAACAAATACAAGATGTCATTGAAAATGTGCTCTGGATGGTAATATTCAACACATTCTCAACTACATGCTCTTATTCCATCTCCCTGTAATGACTGGACAACACTTAGTTTTGGTGCCAGCTGACTTAATTCAGGAATAACCTTGGGTAGGGGAAAACGACAATAAAACCATCATGGCCATGGTCTGTCCCTGCTGGAATGGCCTCTTTACCTCATAGGAGGTGATTCAGCACAGTTTCTGCATTGGCTTTATCTGTTCCTTCCTCTCCTTGGGGGTTCTGCCAAATGTCCTCGTGCACCTAAATTCTGCGTTCTTTGTGCCCACCATCAGTGGTACATCCTTCTTCCCAAGCCTTGCTAACTTCCCCAGTGTCTGAGGTAGCTGAAGCCTGTCAAGCCCTACACCTCAACAAGGCAATTCAGTCAAGAATTATCCTGCCTTTCAAAGGCCTGGCCATCACTTGTTGGCTACTTCTTTTTTTATGGGAATAATCTCCCTTCTTATTGATGGGCCTTGAAAGACACCAAGGACAAACATCAAAGAACACATTTTCCTAACAAATACTTTGCATTTTGCAGATTCTTCAGCAGGACCAGTGGCTTGTGTGGGAGCCAGAGCACTCGAGACAGAGCAGGATGACGGAGCTGTGGGCCTGGGCACTATCCAGAGTGTTCCACAGGTCCCCAGTCTGCATTGCATCCCACAGGGCCCCCAACAGCCCTGCCGTGCCCGTCAGGGTGACCCAGAGGTCCCAGGACCAAGAGGTGAGGGGCAGGTGTCGGGCTCTGCGGGCTGCCAGCAGGTGGGGGCTTGGCCATGGTGTTGGTGTCAGGTGCTGCTGACCCCGCGGGACCTGTTGGGCAGGGCTGGGGCCCCACTGGTGCTCCAAGGGCCCCTTTGAGGCAGCTGCCCGGGGGGAAGCCACTCACAGGGATGACACGGAAGAGGTGCCAGCGGAAGTGGGAAGTTCTCTGATGGATGTGTTTCTCAGGGATGGCACTGAGGAAGTGCCAGTGAAAGTAAGATGTTCTCAGTGCTGGGACACTCAGGAAATTCATGCTCTGGGCACGGCTCTTGGTCAAAATGCATGGATTTCTCATTGTTCCATGTTTGCACTGCACTCACCGAACATGTCAGGATAAAGGAACCTCTCTAACAGTATTTTTTAGTGTTAGTATTTGTTACAGTGAGGTCATGGGCACCCTGCGCCTCCCTTCGCCCAGGACCCTGTGACTCTGATCAAGATAACCCATGGAGCCCTCCTTTCTGCCCCAACGGGGTTGGCGGAGAGCCAGGAAAGCCCACCCTGTCCAAAACCTATATAGACCCCCTGACATTTCCTGTTCTTCCTCTTTTGCCCCACTCTCCCATGGACAACACAGAATAAAGAGAGCTGTACCAACCTACCCTGGGGTAAGAGCCTCTTTTGAATATTTTTCCCCTCTCCCGAGATTCCTCCCCTCACAGCCCCTTATCTCTGAGCTAGTCGGATTCTCCGGGGGCTGCATGAGGGGTGGAAACCACAAGTATTTAGTATTTTTTCACAGCTGTGACACATAGTGGAGAACTCCAGCCACGTGCACACCATTTTCAAAGCTTTTCCAAACAAAGAAATTCTAGCATTTTTAGCAAAAAAACCAATTAATCTTTGTTGGTTCTAAATTACATGATTTCTTCAATTAAGTAATATTCTATCTTCTCTTTGGTATTGATGTCTTCCTTCTCATGGTAATTAATTCACATCTTTCAGTCCATTCATCATAGCTTTTTAGATTTTATCTCAGACAATTTTGCCTACAGAATGAAGCAGTTGGATGGCAGTAGTTGTTTTCGTTAAAAAATGTACTTAGGCTGATGAACATTTTAGCGATTTTTAACCACCCGCAGAATGTGATACATTCTGTAATAAATGATGAGATCAACAAAGCAACCCAAATTTTGTTATATCTGATTAACCTCGGATAAACTGCTTCCATTTCACAGCTGGAAAGAATTGCATCTAGAGCTCAGGAGAAGAGAAAGGGTTTTCATGCCTGTTGAGAGTCAAAATTCACCTTATGCAGATGAAATTCTTCTTGGAGCTGACTCCAAGGTGTGCTTCCTTAGTACCCAATAAATCCTGGCATCAGGTCGTGTCCAAAATTCTTATATTTTTGTGAACCACTCTCGCCTGGATTGTTAGCTGAACACTAGCCAGTTCAGTTGTACTCAGGTGCTTGATTTCCAGGGAAGCCTGTGCCTATCCAGCAACTGGGAAAGCATGACTTGCTACTTCACCGCTTGGCTGCGTTAAAGTGAGGGTTGCTCTCTCAGGGCAGTTTTGCAGCCGGCTGCTTGCAGAGGGAGAACTGTGTCAAAGCAGCACTTTCTAGTGATGTGACAGCAAACATTTGGAAATACAGCTCTTGTTTAAAACAAAGGGCCTAGTTAATCAGCAGTGACGGAGAGTAGGCTGAAGTTTTTACAGAAAATATCTTTTTCCTTCTAGCCAAATACCAGAGAGGCATCGCACAATGGAAGTGCGCAGAATGTCAACTTGTATAACCCAGCTGGAGGTATGATTGCCTTTCACATTTTGCTCAATGTCGGTAAGATTTTTCAACTTGGTAATTCATTTTTGCAGCATATTCTTGGGACAGGGGATCTCTTGTGTTCAGAGATCTTGACTGGAGGTGGTATGCCCTCAGGTCAACCTTGCAGTCTCTTGTCTCTGCATTTAGCCACTGGTTTGTTTTCCCCTGAGAAAACCTGCTAGTCAGTCCTTCCTTGTTTGCATACTGCTTAATGGGATGCAACTTGGAGCATTGAGGTCAAGGTTTGGACTACTCCATACACCTAAATTCACTGCCTTGGTAGCTAAGGTTTTGCTTTTGGAGTATCTAGGCACTGTCATTATCCTTTAAATTTAATTGGGAAAACCTATGCAACCTTGAGAAAGTTGTATAGAGAATTTCATAAGGTCAGTGTGAGAAACTGCTTAATTTTTTCTCTTGGTCGTTAATAAGTTAGTGTTGCCGCAACATTGTGTTGAGTTCTTTTCAAGGAAATTGAAAGGAAGATATTTATGTCATGTTCCCCACGGATTCCATCATTTCCCCAAAGCATAGTGTGCTTAGGTGATGTAATTTGTTATGAATCTGTTCTCAATGCTGTTTCCCCAAGGACTCGAGGTGCACATTCCCCTTACAGGCACTCAGTGGTACTGCCTGCAGCAGTGAGCTGAGCCAGGTATAGCCAGCTGCCCTGAGAAAAGCAGGCTCTCACCTGGCTGTGGCTGCAGTCACCTGCCTGCAGGGACTTCCCTGCCACTGCAAGTGCAGCTCTTGCTCTGCCTTAGCCTACTGCAGAGCATTTTAAACTAGCGCCATGGTGGCTTTTTGCAGAGACAAAACTAAACTTCACATTTCTCATTGGGGACATTCTGTTTCACATGTGAATGATGATTTGTGTGATTCTTGGTGGTGGTCTACACAGACCCTAAGGGAATATTTAGCATTCAGTAACTGGGGTGTGAGGACTGGCAGTAGTGAGACAATTGTGGAACTTGGTGCCACTTTAGTTTTAGGCTGGCACAGAGAAACTCAGGTGAGACAGGTCTGGTTGCTGCTAAGGTACAGGGTCCCAGTTAGGGACTGGGCTTTGTCACAGAATCAGAGAATCAGAATCAGACTTGGAAGGGATACACAAGGATATTCAAGTGCAGCTCTGTCCCCAAGAATCCCACCAGGTGCCTGTGGAACTTGTCCAAATGTTTTCTGAGCTCTAGTGGACTTGGTAACATGAGCAGTCTCGTGGGGAGCCTGTCCCAATGACTGTCACCCTCTGGGTGAAGAACTCTTACCTAATTTTCATCTTAATGCTTGCTTATGGCTTCAGGTCCTTTTCTTTAGAAGTCGTTCAGGGGTATGGTTTTAGAAGATGTTTTGTTTGAATGCTGTGGGAAGTTTCTCTATCCACATTGGATTGAACTTCTCAACACATTAGCAGTGTCTTCACTCGACAGCTGGCATGTTTACAGTGTTCTAAATAATTGAAACGTGTAATGTTTGTGCAATTAGGTTTGCAGACAAATAGAGAGGCATGGTCCAAGGAACAGGAAGTGGAGAAAGGCATTAAAAATTTAACCTACATTGAAAGACTGAAGGAGCGTGTCAAGAAAGGTCAGTCTCTGTGTGTGGGATGGAAGAGACGAAGCTCCCAGATTTCTCACCAATATGCATCAAGTCTCCATCAGCCACTAAGCACGAGTTCCTGGTTTCAAAACAGTGCTTGCTGTGTCATATCCCCTCCCTTGACCCGCTGGCCACGCTTCACCTGATGCAGCCCAGGACACGGTTGCCTTTCTGGGCTGCCAGCACATGTTTCCAGCTCATGCCCAGCCTCTCATCCACCAGCACCCCCAAGTCCTCCCCACCTTCATCCCAGGCCCCTCATCCCATCCCAGCATCCACGCCCAGCTGGGATAGGACATGTCCCAACCCCAAAGATGCAGCGCTTTGCACTTGGCCTTGTTGAATCTGATGAGGTTCCCAGGGCCCTACTTTCCAATGTTCGCCATGTCCCTCTGGATGGCATCTCAGGCCTCTGGTGCTGTAAAACTTGCCAAAGAAGCATTTAATCCCCCTGTCCGTATCATTCTTGACATAGCTTAGTGCTTGAGGTTACAAACTGGAGAAATCATATGAAAACCACCATGCATGTAAAGAGTTTTTCATAAATACCTCCCCTCCAGTATGACTCCTTCACATAGTATTTTTAATGACTGTTTCTTCCTAATGCTTTACTGTCTGGATTTGTACTGATCTATAAATTCTGAACAAATAGAGTTTCAACAGTCTCGGTACATCCTTTTGCATCAACTACCTTGCTTCCTCCCATTCCCCATCTGACAATTAGTTTTCCGTTTTTTTCTTTACTGAAGTGAAAATATCAGAGCTCAAGAGCGCCCCACACAGCTCTCCAGATCTTGTGCCTGAGAGGAAGAGAACAGTGCCCATGAACCCCGCAAAATATATCCGGAGATTTTCAGTACTGTTTCTCTACGCCCCATCAGAGACAGGGCGATTCACTTACTGGCTCTGAAGAATTACAAGAAGTCAGAGCTATTTGCCTGCATAGAGAGAGAGGGAGTTGTGGAAAAGGACAAGGAGTCCCTTGTAAAGATCCTTCAGGAGGTGAGATCCTGGGGCTGCTGCCAGCAATGCTAACTCTTAGCAGTCTTACTTCAGGGTTTCAATTAGAAACTAATGAGAAGCTTAGGAAATGCTCTTTGCATTTTTCCATCAACTTTACACAGTTTCCACCCAACTGCAAGTCCATGTGACAAAAAGAAAGAAATCTTCAAAACTTTGGAGGCCTTGTTGTTGTTTTTCTAGAATAGCTGGCAATGATAAATTCTTTGCAATGTTGCTGCTTCTCATGCCTTATTTTAATCCTCCCTCTTTTCCTTGCACTGGTAAACTGCTTCATGGAGTAACTTCACAGGGTGAAACTCTCAACTGGGTGAAGCACTTAGCTGAGGTCCTTAAAATACCCTGGGACAAGTTTCAGAGGAGAGAATTTTGATGGCTGCGTAGGGCAGTATTTCATTTCAAGGGACTTGGTGGCCTCTCAATGGTATTTGCTTCTACTGGGGTCTGTGGGGATTGCCTTCCAGGGAAGCGTATTCCAGGTAAATCCAACATGATAAAGATGGTGGCCCAGCTTTGAACACAGTGTTTCCTTGCTGTTGTGTGGATTGAGTCTTTGACTTCCTTGGCACGGAGTATTTCTCATAATTTTCCAGTTGTCATTTTAGCGCCACTGGTACTTCTTTATTACAGCCATTCATACGAGTCACATGGACTGAAGGATGCAGTGGCTGTTTCCTTCCTTTTTCGATATTCCCCGTCAATGTAGGCGGTTTCTGAATTATGCAAGCATTAACATATAAAGTAGCGATATTTCCTTTTTATCTACGAAAAAGGTGATGATAAGATTTCAAAGCTCAGCTCCTTAGACGGTAAGAGATGAAAAAAAATTCTCCTTTCTGTTTGTTCTTGTTAATGTTTAAGGATATTTTGAAGGAGTATTTTCCTGTTTGCAGTGTGAACTGCCTGGAGATATTGGTTTGCATTCTGATAGGGATGTGTGACAAGCACTACAACCTGAAAGCTGTTATTAACATTTCTCTTAACTTCATAGGGAGGTGGTGTTGGTTTTTGCTGTACATGGAAAACCAGTAGGGAGAACTTTCTGAGCTCTTCTATTCACAACCTTCCTTCTCTTTCAACACAGCCCTAGTTCTGCTTTTAAAAAGTGAATTCCTGATTCTGGGTATCTTTGTAACTTTTAAGCTGTTGAAGTGTAGCTCTAGGTAGGTTATCTCCTATGAGCTTTCCATAGGAAGCTGTAGTTTCCTCTGAGCAGAAACTTGACAAAGAAAAGCAGTTCTGTTTGCAGAGACAAATGGCAACATCCTGTGGTGCTTCATGGGATGATGAAAACATGCCGTGTTACAGGTCCAGGCTGTGCTCTGCCATGGCAATGTAGCTGGGTGAAACAAGAGGGCAGCAGGTGTCCTCCTGAGGGTGGAAAAATATGGACTTGCTCATGGAGATGATGTTCTTCAGATCCTACTCCAAAGAAAAGGAAAACAGAAAGGAAAAATCTGGTGTCTCCTTGTATTTCAAATAGTGAAGACTGAGAGTTCTGGCATAGTGTACCTTGATTCTCAAAGCTGTGTTGAAGACCGAAAAACCTGGATCCCTGGTGCAGAGAGAGGTTTTCATAGCATCCATTTCCTCCATGCTTGCAGCAGTTTGGCATTTACTTAGATCCAAATTTCTACAGCCCAAATGGACCACATCTGTTTAATATTTTTGCCTCTTACATGACACTGCTTTGTTCTTCACATCAAACGAAAGTCCTGGAAAACTGGTGCATGATTTTCTTTTCAGCTTTGCTTTCGCTTTGTACTACCAGATTTACATCTCTAGTCTGCCTTTTGGTGTAATGAATATTGATGTTTTAAATGTCTGCCCGTAGTTAGCCAACCTGGATGCAAATGAGAATTCTTTCAGTCAGAAGGAACATTTCTTCAAAGACATTCAGGTTCATTGGCCTGGCTACAGTGACAGAGATAGAAAGACATTGGAGGTGACCCTTTTCCAGTAAATTCAGCCAGGAAAAAACAGTTTCAAAAAAACCCTCTGGGAAATGAAGGTCTGTTTTCGCTGTGAGGATAGAGCAATGACTGTTGATATTTTTGCCTTGTTACCTGAAATGCTGGACCATCCTTACAGAAAAACAGCTCCATCTCCAAATGCCACCAGCACCAGCCAGTCACTGTCTCTGGGACCTTCTGAAAGAAATACTCCACCGAGAACTGCTCAGGTATTTTGCGAATTTTTAAACATTCTCTACGATATATGATGTTTTATCCCACTTGCTCTTGGTGTCCAAGCTGTGATATGAAGCAGTAGTGTTGTCTGTACATCATATAAACCTGAAGTGTGTACTTCTAATGGGATTCCTGTACACTTTTCAAGATAGTTACAATGTCAAAGCCTGCAACAAGCTTGCACCCATGATTTGTTTGTCATGGTGCATAGGAAACATAGGTCCAAGATGTGGACATGGTTTTGGTGCCTAGCTGTGTCTGTGCAGGGTTCTTGATGATATGGCAGCTCTAGTACCTAAGTCATGCATGGTAATGCCAGTGCTACTGTTTGAAGAGAAATCTTACGGAAGTCTAGCATAAGGACAAATTCCAGTACTGAGGCATTTGTAGGAAACTTGTTTTTCTATCCTAAGCAGCATTTAGGCTCCCATTTTGATTCAGGCTATCCCATGTGTGAGAAGGACACTCGGAATCATTAGGGAATACCTTGGACTTGTCAGGCTTAAAATCAAGAGATGGTCAATACAAGAGGGCAAGGAAAAAGTTTTGAAAGAATCTTGGAATACCCTGCACAAAAGGTGTATTTTCTATACCTTAAAAAATTCTCTTTAAACAGCCCTGGTTTTCCCTAGCTCTTTTCCCAGCCAGAGCAGGAAGTTCTGCAGGGCCCAGCATCTTCTTATGTCCTACCTCCATGCCTACAGCACTTCTGTCAGATGGCTGGCACAGAGCTGTGTCTGGCAGTCCTGCTGTGAACTGCTGATGGTGGGAGCAGTGTGTGCTTGGTAGGGAAGAGGCTGTGATCCAGGGTTTCCTCTGGAGAGCAGCAGGAACGAGACCTGCAGCCAGACTGGGGCTTCTCTCTGTTGTTATCATCTCTGCACTGGACACGCTGTGATCAGCACCGCGCCGCTTTAGTGAATCGTGTGGCTGTGTGACAGCAAGAGTTGAGTGTGTTCCTGGTGTGTTTGTAAGCAGAAATAGGGAGCAAGATAAAAGCAACCTGAGCTCCTCATTTTGGGGAAGCCTTTGATAGAGGTGCTGAAGGGAATGTCTTTCTCCCAAAGCCATTTAGCTACAGAGTTGGAGGAGGACTTGCTGAACGCTCAGGTGAAAAAGTAGGAATGAAATAGAGAACATATTGAGCTGCAGCACCTCCTTGTATGACAGGCCGTTTTAGGTAAGAAAGGTGTGTGTTCAACCATTGCAAGGTCAGAAATGCTGCTTTTTCTGAGCAAAACTAATTGGCATCATCTTTGCAGAAACAGCCTCTGGCTTATGCCTTTATGCATCCTGTGATGACCAAGAAGCAGAGGATTGACCAAGAGCCCAGTGGTATCCAGCCAGCAGCTGGTGGCCGCTCTCCTTCTTTATTGGACCTGCCTTCAGCATCCTGCTCAATTTTGAACCTGTCTCCAAGTGTCAGCTCCATTTCCACCTCCACCTGTCAGCTACAAGAGAAAGGTAAAATGCAGACTCCATCTGGAATCCCAGCGCCTGTCAGGGTGCAGGGGAAGACTGCCAGCTCCAAAGGTGAGAAAAACAGAGTTAGACAGTGTTAAAAAAAATCCCATCCTTTGGGTTTCGATACAATGCTTGCCATGAGCAAAGCCAAAGTGATTAGCAGAGAGTGCAGGACCCAAGCAGAAAAGGAGTCACACAGTCTGAGTGCAAAGGGTATTAAACTGATGGACCACTTTTAGATATGCTTCCATTTCATTTTTTTACTGGA